AAGAAAGTTGGTCTGCCTTTGAGCTCAGCACAGATCTGGAGCTAAAGCTGTACCTTTTGTAACCTCTCAAAGTCTAAGCAAGCATTCCCCTCATCCAAGGCAGGGCCATTTCTGGTTTGGGTTTTGTCTTTAATCAATTCTGCCTTGCTGTGTGAGCTCCCATCCCTGTGATGGAGATCTCTGTGGGGCTCTGCCCACTTTTATTTCCAGCAGAATAGGCTGCTATCACACACTCTACATGGGGACTATATTTAGTCAGGTAATAATTGCCCATTTTAAATGTATTACACCACAGTCTCCTCTGATGCCTTCCTTTACCTGTGGGTTAATCCAGCCCTGGATTTTTTTGGTTCCTTGACAGACAACTTTTGAGAAAAGGGGCAATGTACAACCAAAGCAGAGAGATAGGAACCAACAGGCTTGATGTTAAAACAAGAATCCTGCTGCTATCCTCAGGGAAGGGCCTTTCATTTCATATATCCCTATTTTCTCTTGCTCTGTCAAAATCTGAATTGATGAAAAGCAGCTGAGAGTCCTTGCCACCATGGCAGTTTTTCATCACTCTGCAAGATTCAGCTCAGTGTGAAGAAAGTATTCTTTTTCTTCCAGCTTCAGGCAGTTTGAAGCTTGAATATGAAAGAAAATGCAGCAAGTTTAACAAAGGGAAAGGAAATGCACATTTGCATGGCTTCATAGCCCCTAATTAGTTTTGTAATATTTATACAAGGCCTAAAAAGTATTCACAGATCCCTGTCTGTAAATACAAATGGATGTGGAAATGAAATCTTCCCTTTGAAATAAGAAAAACACATTCAAATTGAACAGAAATGTTCCCATTTAGGCGGCTGGCTGATGGAAAATGAAGAGTTCATTTTAAAGAATGATATTCTAGATTTACAGAATCATAGAATATTCTGAGTTGGAAGGGACCCACAAAGATCATGGAGTCCAACTCTTAAGTGAATGGCCCACACAGGGGATTGAATCCCTGACATTGGTGTTATCACCACAGGGGATTGAATCCCTGACATTGGCGTTATCACCACAAAGTTATCACCAACTGAGCTAATCTCAGGGTCAATATTTGCTGGCCACTTTTCACTCAGGGGCACACAAGCAAACCCACTTCTGGGAAAGGCTGCCTTCTGGCAAAGTCAGAGCTTAAGAACCCACACATTTTTCATTGAATAATATTCCTTTAAAAAAAATCTAAGCAAACAAAACCTGGCTTTCCCAATGGACATCTCTAAAGCAGTATCGTATCTTCTGGTCAGCTGGTTTTATGATCAATAGCTTTATAGCATAAAATGGTTAGCTTGCTAAGCCAAGTCCTTCGTGGAAGAGCACATTTTGGGCTAACATGCATCCAGGACATGTTTACACTTGCACATACAATTTTAATGCCCAGTATTAATGTAAGAAAAAATATTTTCAGCCTAGGTAAACCCGTGTATGCACTACAGCAGAGCAAGCAGCGTGGTTATACTGCCATCAAGTGGATAGGCATCCTACACATTGCTGAATTGTAAATATCTTCCAGGAACAATGAAGATAACTGTATTTCAGGGCTGTACTAAAAGTTTTGGAGTTTTTTAACACCATACTGAAAAATATCTGCATTCTCCAGCTGATAAATTATTCGTATGCAAATTACTGGGACAGATTTAACTATACGCTCTCTCAGGATCTCTGGCAATCTTCAGTCACCATAATAAGATAGGAAAAATCCGTTTGTACTTTCCTCAGATATATGACCATGTTCTGTTTAAAATCCCAGATTATATCAGATGCCTGGAAGTCCCAGTGGTAGCAAAAGGAGTTTTGAGTCCTTTCAAAGTGATAGTGAGAACAGGGCTCTAAGGAGCACAAGAAAGATTTTTCAATATCTACAGCTAATAGAAAATCATTAAAAAATGCCTATGAGCTGCTGGTGAAAAGCTAATTCACAGTCCAAAAGTTTAGCTCTAGTGAGTATGCTTTACTTCACACAATTTTTGGCTTCTTTGCAGCATTTTTTCTGGCATTCTGCAGCAAACTTTATCAAAACTTCTGTCTACAGAAATCCAGTTGCCAACTCCCACTGAGCAAAAAAAAAATGCAGCTCACTGAAACATGATGGTTCTCTTCTTAGTCTAAAAATGTTGATTAAATCACTGCTCCAATTTTTCAGAATAGCTTCATGGAATTAAGGAATTCTATGTTTTTTACAACATTTATTTCTCAGATAAGATAAATGAAATATATTTTAAGTTTTTAAAGGGAATTAATCTTATTTTTGCCTCCATTCACAAAGACATTTTCTATATGTATTAGTAAAATATGAACTATATTTTCTAGTGCTTTTTATTCCAGTGCCCTTACTTCAAAAAAGAAATAAAAAAATTAAAAGTGGAGCTGTGGACAATACTCCCCTCTAGGGGCAGAAAGAGAATTTGCAATATTTCATTCAACAGCATGTAATTTGTAAATTACATTAGTGAAATAAAACTAATAGGTCCTCCCAAGTGAAAGACAACCAGAATTATTAAGTCATTCCCAGCAGAGAACACTGCTGCTTATGAAATCTGTCTAAAGGACATGTTGTGTTTCTATATTCATGCAGAAGGGTTTTAATGCCACACATATACAGAAGCCCATTTATCAGATTTCCCTAGCAACATACATCCCATCAACTTCTGACCTAGACAACATATCATCAAACGCAATATGCGCAGAGTACATTTTTCTTTATAAGTAAACATGTGTGTCATGAAAACGTATGTCCTGACAAGTGCTAAAGCTGGAAGTTTGCTCAGCTGATCATACTTGGTATATTTGGAAGTGAAATAGGATGGAAGGTCAGCATCGGCTTGGCTGCTTTCCTCCTCTTCATTCAGGCAGCCAGATGCGAGGTTGCAAAAGCAATTCAGGCATCTCCGTCAATGACAGAGGGTCCAATCCTCCCTGCACATAATACTCCTACGTACAGTCTGGGAAGCTCGCAATTCCTCCTTGGAAACGAAGAGAATGCAGAGCTAACAGAGGGTTGTCTACACATCCACAGATCCTGAGATCTGAGTAAGCCTGATGGGAGCTAGAGGAAATGGGGCTGAAGCCCCAGTTTGGACTCAGTACCTTCACAGCACACTACCACTGAGACAAGCAGCTCTCCCCCCTAAAAGCCCAGTGCTGCCTATCTTCTCAAGAAAAGCCATCCTAGGAAACTGCTGAGCTGTTACCTTCATCAGGACATGCCAAGGCAGCTGAAGGGGCTGGCTGCTTGTCACAATCATCTCTGTACAAGTTGGGAGGGGATTCTCAAGCCACCTCCTGGCACAGCATCGCTCATGCTGCTGAAACACCCATCATGAAAATCTACAGCCTCTAAAGGAGCACAGCTCCATGCACATTAGAAAAGCAGGCTCCTGACTCATGTTTAAGCAGACACTCTCTAAAGTTATTATTTGCAATAGCGGAAGGCAAGCTATTTTAAAAGTTTTGTGCTCCATTTCTTATCACATATGCCATAGTTGGTGGAAATTTTATTTCCACACATATGCACATCCACACACAATATTCTAGCAAAATAGCAAAAGCTATGTTGAGCTTTGCCTCAATATCATACATGTGGCATCTGACAATATTCTGCCATTTTCACCCAGCAGACATCCATCAGGTTAAAGTCACCCATAAGAGCAAGGGCTGGCGATTTTGAAACCTCTGCCAGCTGCTTGTAGAATAATTCATCACCCTCTTCATCCTGGTTGGGTGGTCTATAGCAGACTCCCACCAGGATGTCAGCCTTGTTGGTCTTCCCCCTGATTCTGACCCATAAGCTCTCAACCTTATCGTCACTGACCTCAAGGTCAAGAGACTCTCTAACATACAGAGCCACCCCTCCACCTCTCCTACCTTGCCTATCTCTTCTGAAGAGCTACAGGTGCCTTTGTACAAAAGCATAATCTCCTTGAGCCCCAACAAATCTTAACCACAGGTCCTGTGAGTGAACTCGGGACTTGCCCTCCTGATGTGCAGCAGCATGTGGTCCCACAGCAGGACACAGCACCAGCAGGAGTTCAGCTCCCCACTTGGTTGGGGTTGCCTACTGAAAACCCCAGCATCTCAGCACCCAACTTCAGGCTCCTGAGCACTTTACTGGGTCTCAGGCACCACACTGGGCTTGCATGTGAAAAGCTCTGAATAACAGTTTGTTGCTTGGTAGGTTTTTCCTTTCATCTCTTTTTCAAGTGTTATCCATATAACTATGCTCTTGGAGAAAACCGCGTTGAAGATAGACAGCAGTCTTAATTACTACAGGCTAATTACCTTTAATGAGCAAATTGCCATACAGTGATGTGGGATTTAGCCTGAGAAGAGCTTCACACAGTCCTCTAAAATCATCGATACTATATCTTCTATCTAGGTTATGCAATGAAGAAGTTTGACAGTATCCTCTAATCAGATGAGAAGCATGATCCTGAAGATCTGAGACACCAATATAATGTCTCAGTTTTGTTTTCAGGATAATACTTGCTAAAGCAGCTTCACAGTGCTGCTAGCTTATTTCGTTTATCCCTATGATCATTTGCCTTTTAGTACTATTAGGGAAACGAAAAAAAATAACAAAAGCTCCAAGGGTTTGAGATGTACTGCCCCAGAACAAAGTCTCAGTTTCTGGTCTTGGAGACTGTTCTCCTGCAGTCTGCACTATAGCTGCAAATACAAACAGTAAGAGAGAACAGATCTTCATAAAAAAGCTGAACTGAATCATCAAATCTGTTGAGAATATGCCTTCAATTTAATCAAAGGAAATATTTAAGCACTAGCAGTATTCAGAAGCTACAAATTAATTGGTACTTGTAGGCAGCGATTATGTTCTCCATTTTTCTTGATATTCACGTAAATATGTGTGAAAGATTGGTTGCCCAGTTCTAATAGGAGTGGAGAAAGTGATGCTCCCCACAGGTACTTGCAGGGTTAATTGGGAATCAGCATCAGAAGAAATCAATCCTGGTTATTACCTCATGGTATACAGCAGAGTGCCGTCATCCTCCAGGCGCAGAAGTTTGTTTGGGGTTGTCATGTTGTGAGCAATAGACTTCTTGCCATTGTGGAAGAAAGTGTCTGGGGTCCAAATCTTGCTGGCGAGCAGGTTGTTAAGAGGGAGGCGTTGCATAGGTCCTTTGAATCGCAGCCTTTCATCCTTCCAGCTTTGTCGGAAAAAAACATCAATGGTGTATTCCTGGAAAAAAGAAACAAACAAGGTATTGCAGGATCTGAATAGAAGCAATAGTTCCAAAAATGACTTTAGCGAAGTAAATACAACAGAGTTGGCAGCCACATGCTAACTTACCATTTCTGTGTCTGACACAGGACCAAAACTGGTAACATAGATGTCTGTTTTCACCTGAGTTATTCTCTCTGTAATAAATATGGGGTTTGCATTAGTAATTATTTTAAGATGGAAATACATACTTGTGATGCATTTATCTATTAAAAATTTCCGAATCACTCAAAAACTCCCATAAGCTTGAAATTAAGAGGATGCTTGAGGAGACATTTCATCCCTGATCAAATGCAGGGACTCCAGCCTCTGTTCTTATAATCAGAGAGAAACAAGACTTTCAAGGGTGCAATTCCTCTGACTGACAGGCTTCTACAGATCATAGAAACGCAGAACCATTTGGGTTGGAAGGGACCTTAAAGATGTTCTTGTTTGAACTGCCCTGCCATGGGCAGGGACACCTTCGACTAGATCAGGTTGCTCAAAGACCCATCCAGCCTGGCCTTGAATGCTTGAATGATGGAGCATCCACAACTTCTCTGGGCAGGCTGTGCCAGTGCCTCACCACTCTCACAATGAAAATTTCTTCCAAATACTGAATCTATATCTTCCCTCTTCCAGTTTAAAACCGTTACACATTTGTCCTACCACTACACTCTCCGATAAAGGGCCCCCCTGCATCTTTCCTCTAAGCTCCTTTTAAGCACTTGAAGGCTTTCATAAGGTCTGCCCAGAGTATTCTCTTCTCCAGGCTGAACAACCCCAACTCTCTCAGCCTGTCTTCACAGGAAAGTTGCTCCAGCCCTCTGATCATCTTGGTAACCTTCTCTGGACTCACTCCAAGAGGTCCATGTCCTTCTTATGCCGGGGCCCCAGAACTGGACATGGTACTCACAAAAGCAGAGGAGCAGAATCACCTCCTTCAACCTGCTGGCCACCCTTGTTCTGACGGATCCCACCATGCAATTGGTTTTCTGGGCTGTGAGCACACATTGCCGGCACTTACTCAATTCCTACTATAGGATGAGATGAAGTATATCTTGGAAGGACCTATTCCCCTCTGATGGCTTGGGTGATCTGCCCAATTTCAGACATCTATATTAGAGATGTCCAAAATTAGGTGAAATTACTTCTGCCCTCAAGTTTCTAAATCTTTCTGGCATCTTTTCAAATCCGGTACTAATTTAATTTAGGGGCAGAAATTTCAGAAGTTCGTTATATAAGATAAGAGCATCGAGCCCTATTTTCAAGCATCTCTGTGTAAAGTGAGATGAGAAGGAGAGAAAGGGATGAAAGCAATGTGTTGGTCTCACAAGAGGAAGGGGTGGGGGTAGCCAGATTAAAAAAGGGCCAGGAAGAAACATAACAGATGGTTTACACATGGGTAGAAGATGAGAGAAATCTGGGGGATAGAGAGCTGAAGGAGGGCTCAACAAGGTTAGGATGGCAACCTATTCACATGCTATTCACAACTATTCACATGCTATTCACAACCATTCACATGCTATGGTTTTAAAATAGCTGCTGTAGAGGTTATCAAAATGACATATCAATACAGATTTTCTGTAGTTGTCTAAAAACGAATGGTTTAGGGATCTGTTTTTGAAAGAGATATGTGTCACCAGCATAATTTTATGTAGGCTGACCAGTAAGGGAACCTTGCAGCAACCTGCTAACATATTGTCTTGCTCATCTTAGGAAGTACCAGAAAGAAAAACCCAAACTGTACGCAATTACAGAAAAAATATATCACAGATGCTCTCCTAACCCAACCTCAGATGACCTCAGTGACTGAAAGAAGACAACTTTCAGTGATTTTTTTTTTTATTGTGGCCCATTTGCTAGGAGACAAATCTACTTTCTGGACTTAGTTTAGTTAATCAAACACAACTCCCTCATCAAGGCCAAGAGCAAGTACCCATCTGAAAGGGCATCACATAGACGATGGTCTCGTATAGGAGGGGACCGGCCACAGCCAATGCGTTATCCTACCTCCCAGTCCTGGGCGCAGTCGGTTGTCGTAGCCGTCCAGCAAACCATCCAAGATCCTGGTGAATATAGTGATGTTATCATTGGTGTCCTCTTTTCCTGACGCTGTTGGCGTTTGTGAGAAGCTATTTTATGCAAATGAAAGAAAACATGTCAAAAGCCATGCTGGTTTCAAGGGGCTTCAGTCTCGAGGGAACTTTGCAATGGAGCAATGGAGCCACTGAGCCTCTGTCCTCTCCTGCTGCTCCAGCTGAGTAGCACAGGGAGCTGCGGTGATTTCATCATTGCTATAAGCAATCCTAAAGAGCTCTCCCTGGAGGAGGATTCGAAAAAGGATCCATGTCATGGAGGTACAACCCTGGGGTGCTGGATCAGGAGACACCTGAGCCCTTTGACCCTCTGTCCATAATGCACAGGTCCCCCATGCTGCCTTGTCCACCATTTCCCAAGTGCTGGCATTTCTCCATCCCCTGGAGGGAGCGAGATCAGTTCAAGGGGCCAGCAAAAGCTGTTACTGGTTTTCACCAGGTTAGCCCTCCATTTTTTAGGAACTACACCAGCTGACAGTGGAGCTGCATGAGCAGCATGGGTTTGCCCTGGGGATGCACCTTCAAGTGTGCCTGAAGGTACTGTCTAATCTTTAAATGCCAAACAGCTTTTAATTTTCAAAATTTATGTAATTTATTGCCAGAACAAAGGACGAACTCTAACCTTATTTGAGGATAACAAACTCCCACTACATTCAGAAATCCCACTGGGGTACTACTGGGGTATCTGAAAAACATACTGCTGTATAGAAAACACAGTTCTTCACTCCTCCTCTTTCTTTTGCATAAATTAGTTCTCCCTTGTAGTATGCAAATAACAGCACTGTGTAGTGGGCCACATTTCATATCTTTTGGACCAGATTTGTTTTTAATTTGAACTCTTTTTTATTTCATCATTTTATCCGTGGCTCAGACCTAGGAAGCTGCTCACAGCTCACAGCACAACTAAAACTTGCATTTTTAAATCTGTCTGATTTTCATTTAAAGATGCTTAGGAGAATCCCCTGCCTACTAATGCCTTTGCTTACCTAAAGAATAGACATGGGAGATTATCCATAAGCATGCTTCACCCGCACAAGCAATGAACGTTTCTTAAGACAGCAAGTTTCCTCACACTTGGTGCTTATTCAAGATTCAGCCTCTGCTGAAATCACCAACAAATTTTCCAGCTGTGAAAGGGCACAAAGGCCCACTAGGAACCATATACTCTGCCTCATGCCCACTGTCAGCAGATAGGAATTGCTTATGCTCCAGCAACCTGAACTCGATGCCAGTCAGTCATCAGGAGACAGTAAATAAATAAATAAATAAATAAATAAATAAAATCCATGTTTATTTATTACCAGTCCCCAGGGAAATAAATCAGTAAATAAATAGAGAAGCTCAGAGCAGGTCTCTGAACAGCTTGCCTTACAGAATGGTTGCAACATATGTGTTTGGCTTACCTAGCAGAACAGGATTCATACAAAGAAAGAAGGGACCTCAACTTGGTTTTACCTGCACAAGGTTTCCACTAACGGGACCTCACTGACATCCATGTAATGGATCTGGAAGTTTTAGTGACAACAGACCTGGCTCAGAACAAGCTGCTCTTGGACACATATCCTCTCACAGACACGGGGACCCCCAGTCCTTGATAGTTTATGGGCTTCTGCTGAAAACGGAAAGGATTGCAAAGCCTCTCAGAACAGGGGAGTAAGGCCAGGCAGTGGAAGCACAGGTCCAATTCCCTGAAACACCAAAGCTCATGCAATGCCTGATTGAGGATGTTCCTTGCGGTCTGAGCGCAGTTGGCACTGCTGCAACCCTAGCGAGATCCACACTGCAGAGCCCAAGGCCATCAAGGATCTCCCCTTCACTGCAGGTGGAGGCATAGCCACAGATCTTGACCATTTTTCAGGCCATTCATCTCTCCGTGGTCAAAAGACCAAATTAATTCTGTTTTCTATGCTGTGACCACAACCTCCAGTGAGCAACTGAGGCAGAAAAGATCATGGACATGTTTGACTTTAACGAAAAACAGTTAATCCAGCACAGCACACTGATTACATAAACATTAGCCATCCCTGCATGCTGGACCATTCAAGATAAAAGACTGTACACCTTTTTGTCAACTGTAATCAAAGGGATTCACCACATAAAAGTGAATATTTACAAGTAGCAGCCTAACGAACACAAAGGAATTCAAACAGGAGACAGAAGTTACAGATGTTCTTTACATGCAGCGACCATAACTAAATACTTTGATAAAATCCGAGCACAAACCACAAAAATCCAATATATCTAGAATACTATTTTCAACTTTTCTCATCTATTTTATCTCTTTTTTTCATAAGAAAGAGATATGCATCATGCTGTCTGCCTGCTACACCGTATCAGCGTAGGAACCCATTTTCATTTTCCACTGCGTCTGACAAAGCAGTGGAGAGATCAAACTTCATTTCATTCCTACAAGTTTCATGAGAAGCTGTGACTAGACAAGGGGAGAGCAATCTAAATTAGCGTCTCATTAAGTAAAAATGTAAGGTTAGCAGTCATCTATTCCCCCTGGCTTGCTGACTGGGCCATTCAGCATACATGTAGGTCAGAAACAGCCTCAGCAAGATCAGCTCCCCTCCTCTCTGATAATTAAGAGAGATGGAGGAGACTTCCAGGGCGATTAGGAAAGATCCTGGGAGAAAAGGACAGCAGAGGTAAAACGTAGGTGTTGCAATGCGAGATGAGAACAAGGGATGCCAAATGTGGAGCTGGGATTATTGCAAAGATATGGTGCTGGGGGCACAGGACACAAAGGTTCACTCGTTTTTCTGCTCTTGAAAAATCCTGTTATTTTTAGTGCTTATGGCTGAATTCAAAGCCAACTGAACTCAGAGGGAAGATTTCCACTGAACTATTTTTGTGGGGATAGGCACATAGTTCTTATAACTGCTTCTCTGAATCTAACAAGAGTAATTGATGCTGCTTCCTTCTATCTCAGCTATGTACATCTCTTACAAGAATAGTACACACACCCCATATACTGAAATACTTCTGTATCTCCACAAGAAAAGCTAATTAATAGAGGAAAAAGATGGAGAATCAACTACAGTGAAGATTTACAAAAAGTCTGCACTTCTGCTAAACTGCAATCCAAATTTGATTCGGCAGATCGCTTCACCCATAAAAAAGGCACCTGATGCTAAATTTCAGTGAAATGTCAGTATGATGGGAAGCTGCATTTGTAGATAGATTGCTGTTTGCTGTTGTGTAAATGTTACTTTTTCTTTCACAGAAAGTTAGTATTTAATTTCTGTTATTGAGATTGCTGGTGAAATGCATATTTTGGAGTAAGGTCTGAGATTGTCTGTTATGACGCAAGACATTTATAGTACTTGCAAAGTCACATACATACATTAGATACTATATAGCTCTAAGAATAGAGAGAAAACAGGTGCTACCCTTAACTAATTATTTTCACACAGCTAAAGATTTCGTTTTATCAACATATTACTAGGTAAGCACATTATTGCCTCTCTGCAGCAAAAAATGTTTTTATAGCAGAAATTTTCAGTATGGATAAAAATAAACCTAGAAAAAAACCTTAGGAAAATGCTAAGAAAATTCAGAGATAATTGCATTTAAAGCTCATTATTGAACATAAACTAAATCAACCAGGAATACTTCTCATCACATTTATTTAATGTTGCAATTCAGGATAACTGAAAAAATAAGAAGCCACAGAAGGGGCCCATGAGTGTAAAACATAATAACTCTCTAAATATGCTCAGCTACTTCTTCCGATGAGTACATCATTTACCATTTTAAACGTTACTGTCATCCAGTCAAAATCATAACAGGTACTATTCGTAGCTTAGTTGTACTAAGAGGAAAATGCATAGTAGATATTTAATGATTTTTCCCAAAACCTCTTTTAAAAAAAGGATAAGAAATGCTGAAAAAATAACTGAAGAGTATTTTGCTACTGAAAGATGTAATTTTTTTCTCTCTCTCTTAAGAGAAGCATTTCCAATAACTTGCCTTCATAGGATTGCAATTATACCTGAATTTCAGACAAATTAACAGTTTGTGGGAAAGACAGTGGAAAATATACTTGCAAACTTTTGGATACTGACACTGGCCAGACATCAGAGGAAACGGATTTACTTTTCTAAGTTAGTCTCTTGCTACCCCTTTCTTATAGAATCTTGAGATCTAAAAATGTTGATGTTTTGTGAATTTGTGCAATGAAGATTCAATTCTTGCACATGGGATTTAAACAGAGGAGAGGACTGACTAAAATGATGAAGTTTTAATATTATTTTCATATTTTTAAAGAATAATTTAATTCGTTTATTTAGAAAGATCAGTATTTTAGCACCTTCTGGGAAGGAGCAATTTGTGAGCAGTGCAATGAAAGCCTGTTTTTTATAGAGTGACATCTTACAGTCCTCACCCCCTTGCAACTTAATGTCCCTTTCAGTGTCCTGAATTTCTTCCAGGGTCATTAAACACTTCCCAGTACTCTCATCTCTCCAGGTCACTGACCTGCAACTTCACTGGGATGCATTGCATGCCAGGGCTTCTCCTAAACTAAGTACATGCTGGCTGGATGGCAGGTACGTGCCTGCTATTTGGCCAGCTGGCTGACCAGAGATGCTGAAGCCGTAGCCTGCTGTTCAGCAGTGGGATTGACTGATGGTTGTCTGACTGCTCCAAGAAGTTCTAGATACCCACTTAGTTTTCCAATTACTAAAATTGTCTAATGGATTTAAAAAGGTATCTGGAGATATGGAGAAGGAAAGGAAAACAGAATAAAAAAAAATAAACAGACAAGCATGACTGCATAAGATATGATAATTCTTACAAAATTAGTCTTTAAAAATATGAGGAAGAACTCCCAAGCATCACAAGTACTTGGAAAGGGATATCCCTGCAGAATTAACTGCTTAGGGCTGCAGAGACTAACTTGAAATAACGGTCTAAAGGAGAGGTATGTTCTGCCTAAATAGCAGGATTATAGTCTTAGTGATAAGGGCTGTGAGCTAGAGAAGAAGTATGTGAAACTACAGACACACTACGGACTGAATTCTTAAGAGTGTACAGAGAAATACTGGGTTGGCTACATATAATTGGGATCTTCTGTTCTCTGTGTTTCTACTATTATAAATATTATTAGCAGATGGCAACTAAACTGTGGGTACATGAACAACGTCCGTCCCTGTTAGTTTTGGCTTTCAGACAGATTTCTGAAATTGCACGTCCAAAACAGGACTGTGGATCACCAACGTGTCCCCAGAGATGTGCCCATGGACGGCCTGGGACTTGTGCAATAAAAGCCAGGACCCAGTAAGACTGGCCAGCATGGAGCTGAACACAGGCTACCTTGTCTCACACAGATCTGCGTGCAAACAGCCACCCATGGCTCCAACCCTCACAGGGCTGCCAACACCTGGCCTCCTCGAGGGCCCACAAGGAATCAGTCTCTTGTCTTACCTGAAAACACTCTTGATGGTTGTATTTGACTTTTAGTCATTCTCTAGCCTTATTATTAATGTTAAGTTTCAAGACAATTGTGAACTATCTTGGAATGCTTAAGTAAAATAAGTTGCTAGAACATTATACAACTCAAGGCTGAACTCAAGCAAGCTTGAAAAAGCTTTGACTCATGCTGGACCGTTTCTGCAGATGTAAACTCATAAAACTGTTATACCAACAGAGCGAGAGGCGGGGAAGACTTCACATCCTCTTCTCAGTTCATCTACATCTTTGAATTTTAATTAATTCACTGATTTTTCTTTAAATAACTTCTACCAACTCTGTCTACAGTCCTTCTCTACTGCGTATTAGTGTGGATAATTCTCGATAGTCATTACACATTTATGTTAAACATTAATCACAGACTTTTGTAGAGATTTATCAAGTAGCCTAGGAGATTGAGATATGTAATTTTTGTTTATTTAACCAGGCATTGTGCATCAAAATCCCCCAAGGTGGCTTTAACTATGTTAGCAAAAACTGCATTTATGATTTAATATAAATATGGACTGACTATGGAGAACTGTAGAAAAATCTCTGCTTCATCTGTAATGCCCTCCTGTATTTTGGTTTTTAATTTGTGCTCTTTCAACCAATCACTTTTATCAAGCACATTGCAAAACACACTGCAATATAACAGCACAGTACAAACATGGATGAAGCTAATAAAGAAGAACCTGCTATCAACAGCAAGTGTTATCAGTATTAGATTCCTGCAGTTAATACAGCAGCCTACATGTTAATTGTACCTTTCTGTCCTGAAGAGTCAGTCCCAAAGCACTTAGCAAATTACACTCTGAAACTGCTTCTGCCTCTGAAACAGAAGCACTGGAGCATCCTCTGTCTTTTGAGCAGGGTCAAAAATCAGCCCTAAGGCACTGTGTGAATGGTGCAGTGAATTGGAGCTGCTTATCTCTACAGGCCTGGACTAAAATTACTAGATTAGAAATGGGGGGCAAGGAGGATGGGGGGAACTTATGTGATGATCTCATTTTAGTGCATAGAAGCTTTTTGACTAACTCACAAAAAACAAATGTCCTAGTTTCATCTAACTGTCCTGTTTTGATTATCTGCCAGGTTACATGTTATACTGATTCCTACCTGGGACCTTCATTCAGTATTTTCTTTGGAGTCGAAAGGGACAGTTAAACCCTCAGGCTTTTGGGTTGTTTTTAGGTTTGGATTCATTTTTTTTTTTTACAGCCTTACCTATCTATTCTTCTGTTAGAGAAGAAACACAGTTAAAAGACCCCCCCATACCAAGCAGGTCATGCTCAACTATTGCAATGTGCTGCCTTCTGCAGGGACGATGAACAGTCAAGAAGGACTTAAGGTTATAGTCATCAAGATTTTCTTATTTTGAAAATACTTTGTCGAATTACAACAATGTAAAGACAAGTTTAAAACCACTCCCACACTATCTATGCCCTCTTCATTTCTATCACAAAGTCCTGGGAGAGTTTTCCCTTAGACCACAGTGAAAGCAGGATCAAGTTTTTTCAAGGTGGATAAATGAGTGTACAACTCTTTGCATCCTTTGTAGAGTGCAGTCCTACAATTGTTCCTATAAACCACTGTGGTCACAGGCTTCCGTCTGTGTACACAGGACATGTGCTGGAGACCAGGTTAAGTTTTGCTTACAGCGCGGACAGTCATCACTTGGTTTGGTCTTACTCCTAGTTCCAATCTGGAACAAGTCACTTTGCTTGAAATCAGAAACTGATTTGCATCTCCATTTTGTGTCTTCTTATAGCAAGGAATTGATGGGTGTGCTTGTGAATCAGAATGTTGGGAGGATTCATTTTTTTTCTGGTGAAATCATAAATAATTGTTCTCCTCCACAAAGAAGAATCAACCTACGTTTCCTGAGCACTTGCAAAACGCTTTTTCCAGATTCCATTACATAGCTCAATTTTGGAAAGTTCTTAATATCTCTGGGTATAGGAAAAACATATAAATAGAAGGTTTCTGACATTATTTTTCATTTTCTAAGAGCTATAGTTGCAGTATTTTTTTGATACAGCTTTCAGAATATCACTGTCAGGGAAGCACCCAAAGCAAAAATAAGAAAACAGGATTCCTTGCTATATGCTTCAGGGAAACACAATTTCTAATTATTCTAACAAGTTTCAAACTCAGACATCCTTCTGAACAGTCACTATCTTAGCTTAATCACCAGAAAAGCCTGTACCAGCTAGTAGCATGCACCGAGTCCCACTGTTGCAGTCTTGCACTACTGCCTATAACCTGCATCCATCAGGCAAGAGGGAAGGTGCAAGACCCTTGCATCACAGATACAGAAGCAGGGAGCACCACAGCCCCTGGCTGTGCTAAACCCAGGTCAGAGCACTCAGCATCTGTAGGCCTGGTCTGTGCCCTTTGTGCCCTCCAAGCCTTCCCGCAACAGCACGAAGAACTGACACAAGAGGGTAAATCTGAAGAGGAGCGTAAATCACTCCCTTCCCCCTGACACCAGCACATTAAGATGAAATGCAAAGCCTGGTTGTTTTGTTCAGCTGCTCCACACCACACAGAGACATGGTTTTTCATTTACTTAAAAAACCCACAGCAAAAATTCAAACACAATTGGCAACTCACCCAAAGTGGCTGGCTAAACTCATGGAAACGCAGAAGAGGAAGAAGTTTTTGATCATGATAAAGTCAGAGACCATCCCATTGTCCATTCCAGAGGAGAAAAAGAATGCAGGTGGTTGCTTTGGTGAAGGTGCAGCTGTTCACTTTGTTCTTACGCTGCAACAATACAAAAAAATTTGAAAATCATTGCACGGACAAAAAGCGGGATAGCTGAGTTCAGCTAAGACCGCATCTTCTGCTATCTGCGTTTCTCACAAACTTATCTAGGCTTATGTAAACATCAGCTGTTTATGTAAAGTTGTATGTCTTCAAGGACATGTTTTACCTTCTGCTGACAGCAAACTGCAAAACAGGAAAAATTCTTTGTGGCCCAGTTTTCCCTTATATTCATCTGTTGTATAAGTAACTAAAGAAAAAGTCACCATTTTCCAAATGCCAATTTCAACCCTTTACCTATTTCAACAACTTCCACATGCCTGCAAACCCAGGGCTGTGTGCAGCCTCCGCATCCTTTGCTTTCATCGCAATTTTTTCCCATTAAATACCCGGCTTCCCTTTCCAAAATCCCAGTTGAAATGCCAAGAAACACCTACTGCTTCTTGGAATTCATGCTGCTGATGCACAGCTTAGCAAAAGGAGGGTGGGTTGCTGGGGGTGGGGGGAGAGGGTAAAAAGTGACCTTCCCCTCAAAGGCACATAAACCTCACGCTAGCATGAAGAATGACAGTAATGTAGCTGCTCCAGTGAATGCCGCTTTCTGGATACCTGCCTCAGCGACCAGATCACCAATTTCAGCATTGTGCACTAACGTTTTCCTCTGTGCCCTATTAAAAACAAAACAAACAAAAAAAAACCAAACAAAAAAACCCCAAAACCACAACAACCCGCCTCCCCAAATAAACACCAAAACAAAGCCCAAACACACAAACAAAGGAAACACTGAAAACCCAACAAAAACCCCAAAACAGACCCCAAAAACACACCTTGAGGGGAATTGGCTGGATTTTCCACCTGAACCCTGTGTCCCCGCGCTATATCGCACAACAACTTACTCTCCCACCCCGCCGGCAAGCCAAGACACCCGAACCGAAAGCCGTCCCCCGGGGCTCCCCCCGCCCGGCCCGCGCTGCCCCGCAGCGGGTCCCGCTATCTCTGCGCCGCTCCCTACCGGGCACTGCGGGGCCGCCGCTCCCTTCTGAGCGCCCGCAGCCCTGGCCCGCCCGCACCTGTCCGGGGACCGCCGCTCACTCGCCGCCGCCGCCGCCCGGGCACTGCGCCCCGGGGCGCCGCGCACCGCTCCGCAGGGCTCCGCGGACGGGGACACCTGCCCGCCCGCCCCGCCGCCCCTGTCCCTCTTCCCTCCCCAGCGCCCGCGAGGCCCTCGGGCTCGCCCCCGCCCCTCCCGCCGGCCGAAGTTTCCCGCGGCCATGTGCGCGGCGGTGTCCGCCCGGGGGTCCGCGGCCGGGGCTCCCCGCCGCCCTCCGTCCGCCCGGCCGGGCGCGGGAGCCCGGCGCTTACCAGCCGCCGGCGGGGGGACGAGGGCGAGGGGGCGGTGTTTGCCTGAAAGTTGCGGAGCGGCAGCGGGAGCGGGAGCGGCGGCGCTGCCTCCCGGCCGCTGGCAAGCGCGGCCCCGCCGCAGCGCCGCGCCCGCGCCACCCCCGCGCCGAGACCGCGGCCGGGAGCGCGGGGAGGTGTGCGGGGCGCGCCCGACCCTCGGGGACCCAGGCGGGGACCTCCCGGGAAGAGGCCGCTCCCGGAGCCGTCGCAGCCCCGGGAGGCTTCAGCGGCTCCCTGGGCTCCCCGCGCCGAACTCCCGGGAGCAGGTCCCACCGAGCGTCCCACGGGCCTGGGTCCCGGGCGAGTCCGGCCGGCACCGACCGTTCTCGGGGAGCGGGAGCCCCTGCCACAGCCAAGCCCTGCGGGTGTCCTGTAGCCTTGGGGCAGGGGCACCCACCACGCCGGAGGCTTGCCGGTATATATGCTCCTTACACCACACATGTATAATCGTACGTATATATACACACACCCGTACATACCCAGATCTGTATCTATACTCCTCTTCTGTAGCCGATGGACCTGACCTAAACCATCATAGGTCTTAAATGCTGAAGTGGGATTTTCTATCCACAACATAAACTCTCTTTGTACATCCTCATTATTAGACGTCCAGGGTTTGTATCGGTATTAAAAATTCCAGGAGTCTTGCAGTAACTTCGAGGTTTCCTTGTGACTGTGTGTGCTGCTATTCCAGAAAAATGGATGCACTGCTTCACAGCCTCAATAATGGGAGCTTTACACTTGCTACGTGTTCGTCACATATATAATGTACTGCTTGCAGGTGCCTTTCGAGCCATGTGAAAGATGAAATGGGTGTTGTATGATGTTGTATGATGAAATGAGCCCCAGGTCCCGGGGATTCCTTGGGATGCATGCAGTATTTTGCAGCGTGCACATATTACACGTGATAATATATGATTTCAATATATACTGCTGTGATCATACTTTGAAATAACATTGCAAACTTGGTTATTAAATTACCAGATCTAACGAGGTAATGCCTGTCTTTAAGGGAACATTATGGATCAAGGAAGCATTTGTCTTTTCTCTATATCCATAAAAAAAGCCTATGAATTTAATCCCTCCACCGAAATCAGTATTGATTCTGTAGCTCATTGCCACAGAGGGTGGCTGCTGTATGTATGCCTAGTCCATGGTATGCACCGTCTAAGTTGAAAATAGGTCCTTAGGAATTTCAGTTTACATTTTTTCCCACCTAACAAAACTAGAAATGTAGCCCCAGGGAGAATTTCTGTGTAAACAAGGAATAATTTTTCTAGTATCAATTGAGTAGCATTTTCTCAGACAGTTCTTTGTAATTCCCCTCTTCAATATTCCCTTGAGACTTCCCAGGGTTTGGACTAGATGATCTTTAAAGGTCCCATCCAACCCAAACCAGTCTACATTTCTATGGCTCTATATGTGGTGCTTAGCTGTGTTCAAGTTTTACAGCAATGATTTATGATCTTAAATGCAGAGCCAATGACATACGTTGTTCCTCGTTGTTCCTTGGTGACTTCAGTAAATATGAAGTTGTGAATGAATGTTGCTATCAGAACAGCTTTCTGGATGCTTAAAAATATCTGAGTAAAGTAGTATGAAGCGCCAGTAGTTTCTCATGATAATGTTCTTGCCTAGGAGCGTTTAAATCACATTTTCTACAGTGCTTTCATTTCTGGTACGAACTATTTATATCTCCATATAGGTGATACTGTAAAAATATGTGAGCTTTAAATAATTTCACAAAAGCGAGACACAGGAATATAAGCCTAGACTTTTGTGCAAATGGGAAAGAGCTGTGTGCTCTGGCCTCTTGCTCCAGCTCCCCAGTGAGCAGAAGTGTGCCTCGGTTCCTCTGACTAGTTCCATCTTCTCCACGAAGCCATATGCTGCAGATCTGCTTCTCAACAGCAAAGGCAGGAAGCGCTTAGGAATCGGTGGAGCAGAATAGCAAGAAAATGTTAAAGGAAAGCTTAAAGAAAAGAAAATAATGGTATAATCACAAAACATTTTGGGTTGGAAAGGAATCTTAGAGATCACCTAGTTCCACCCCCCTGCCATGGGCAACAACGCCACGAAAACGCCTTACTCGGCGAAGGGGCGAGCTGAGGAGTGCGGGTGTCACGCAATCCGGTGCCGCCCACGCCGCGCCGAGCCCACCTGCTCCTCCCGCCGTGTCACTGTCACTGCGGTGGCGACCTCAGCCAAGGGCTGCTGTTCGGGCCACCGCCGCCGGAGGGCAGCACAGCTCCACACAAGCGGCCGGGGACAGCGCGGGGGGCTTGGGGAGCCGGGCAGCGCCCGGGGTGTCACGTACCGGGATGCTCAAACACTGATCGCGTAGGTTTTCGGGCTGGATCCCGGCAGGACGGTGGCTTTGGTCTGTGATAGCAGTTATTGCCAGCAATAGAGAGATCGCTACTTTGAAGGCAACGGTATTGTACGTCTTCCGCTTCTTCAGGCACTCCTTTCTGATTCACATTCCCTCTGTTTGTAATCCTTATCCTCCTTGTCACGTTTGAAAGGATATGTTGAATTTAGTATGTTAAACAAATCCTTTTTATTGGGGTCAGGGAAATGCTTTGGTCGTTTGGTTGATTGTTCTCTGTGCTGGTGTTTAGCAACAGCCAGCACGGCCATTCCATACTGTGATTTTTCTTCAGATTTGGTAGAAATTTTGTGTGGTCCCTCTCTGACATTTCTCCTCCCTCCTTCATTAAGTAGCGTTGCTTATTTGTAGGGACGAATGTATTTGGGCTAGATCATTCTCTACATCATACTGAAACAATAGTGCAGGCAAATTGGACTGTGATTTTTACTGTGGTGCACACTTGGGAGCTCACTGGGAAATGCACACCAACCCCTAACACTGACACTCTGTGTTAGAAAATGGCTTGTTGTGCCAGCAGCCAAAGGCCTCTCTGTAATTGATCGAGTCATTCCTTCTTCCAAGAGAGCTACAGAAAACTCATGAACTGTATGAAGGTGTCAGAATTGAGCCAAGTAAGCTCTTCAAAGATATTCTCTTCTACCAAAACAATTCACTTCTGACATCTAGGTGGAGAGGACTGCCTGTTTTCTTGAAATCTTCTGCCTTTGGCCTCCTAGCTAAGACTCCACAAAAGGCAGCACTTGGAATAGTGACTTTGGTGATACAAATCCTTTTCCAATAGAGAGCAGTCTGAATTCATCAGTCATTGAAGGAATCCGTAATCATCAGCTAATACTGACTCAGCCACTCTCAACATAGAAACTGGATCTGAACAAAAGGTGAAAGTCTTGTTTTCACTCCTTTCTTTAACAGTATCTGTAAAAACCACAGTCAAGAGGCTTTTACTCAGCCCTGGTGAGTGCTGGGTCCAGCTTTGGGCTCCCCCGTATGGGAGAGACACGAACATAGTGGAAAAAGTTGAGCAAAGGACTAAGAAGATTATTTAAGGACAGGAGCATCTCTTCTATGAGGAGGGGCAGAGAGAGCTGGGACTGTTCAACCAGGAAAAGAAGATGCTCAGGGGGGGAACATATCTGTGTGTATTAATACCTGAAGGCAGAGGGCTGAAGAAGAGGGAGACAGACTCTGCTTAGTGATACCCACTGATATGTAAGTCTTATGAGGAGCGGCTGAGGAAGCTGGGGTTGTTTAGCCTGGAGAAAAGGAGGCTCAGGGGAGACCTTATCGCTCTCTACAGTTACCTGTGGGCAAGTTGGGGGTTGGTCTCTTCTCCCAGGCATCAAGTGACAGGGCGAGAGGTTCAGGTTGGACATCAGGAATAATTTCTACACAGAAAGGGTTGTTAAGCATTGGAACAGGTTACCCAGGGAAGTGGTGGAGTCACCATCCCTGGAGGTGTTCAAGAAGTGACAGGATGTGGCACTTAGTGCCATGGTCTAGTTAACAAAGTTGTGATCAGACAACTGCAAGAGAAGTGTAGGGAACAGAACAAAGTTCTCTATGTAACCTTTGTCGACCTCACCAAGACTTTTGATACTGTGAGCAGAAAAGGTCTATGGCAGATTTTGGAACGCTTAGGTTGTCCCCCCAAGTTCCTTAAAAATGATCATCTCACTCCATGAGGATCAGCACGGCCAGGTCAGATATGGCAATGCACTTTCTGAGCCCTTTCTAATATCTAATGGTGTGAAACAAGGCTGCGTTCTTGCTCCAACCCTATTCACAGTCTTTTTCAGCATGATGCTCCAAAGGGCCACGGCAGATCTCGAGGATCAGAACGGTATCTGCATTTGATATCATACTGATGGAAACCTTTTCAACCTAAGGCGACTGAAGGCCCACCCCAAGACCTTAAACCATCTTGTCCGGGAGCTGCTTTATGCTGATGACGCCGCCCTTGTTGCCCACACAGAAGCAGCTCTGCAGCGTTTAACATCCTGCTTTGCAGACACTGCTGAGCTCTTTGGGCTGGAAGTCAGCTTAAAAAAGACAGAAGTTCTCTATCAACCAGCACCTCAGGAAGTCTTCCATCATCCCCATATCACCATTGGCCAATCAGAGCTCAGATCAGTCCAACAGTTTAATTACCTAGGTAGCCTCATCTCCTCGGATGGTAAGATTGACGGGGAGATAGACAACAGGTTAGCAAAGGCATATAGTGCTTTTGGAAAGCTTCATAAAAGAGTATGGTGTAATAAACACTTGAAGAAAAGTACCAAGATCAGTGTTTACAGAGCCATAGTGCTGTCTACTCTCTTGTATGGTTCCAAATCATGGGTCATCTACCACCACCACCTGCGTCTCTTAGAACGTTTCCATCAACACTGTCTCTGCACAATCCTAAACATCCACTGGTCAGATTATGTGACCAATACATCTGTTCTAGAACAAGCAGCAGTCACTAGCATTGAGGCCATGTTGCTGAGAATTCAGCTGCGTTGGGCAGGGCACGTCTCCAGGATGAAGGACCACCGCCTCCCTAAGATCTTGCTTTACGGTGAACTTGCCTCCGGCTGCCACAGGAGAGGAGCCCCAAAGAAAAGATACAAGGACTCCCTGAAACAACATCTCAGCCTCGGCCACATTGATCATCATAACTGGTCTACTCTGGCCTCAAATCGGGAGGCCTGGAGACACACCATCTATAACGCTGCCGTTTCCTTTGAGAACGCACACAGGATCACTCTCGAGGAGAAAAGACAATGCAGAAAGAATCGTATCCTGCTGAATACACCACCTAAGGAGTCTTTCTGCTGTGCCTTTTTCAATTGGATATGTCTATTTCGTATTGGCCTCATAAGTCACCAGCGTGCCTGTAACAAATGTGGATAGAACCTTCCTAAATCTTCGTTCGCGAAGCCTAGCCATGATGATGATGATGATGATGATGATGATGATGATGATGATGATGATGATGATGATGATGATCAGTCAAAGGTTGGACTTGATATCTTGAAGGTCTTTTCCAGCCTAAGTGATTCTGTGAATCTGCG